GTGACAACGCATCTGCATTTTGATTCGTAATTGAAGATAGATGTAGATGTCTATGGGGCACAGCAACCAATTACCATCAGGTGGGCTGTGTGTCCGTTTGTCCCCTTCAAACTGGGCTGGACACATCATTTTCTTTCTTCACGCGGAATTATACAATTTAAGTTATAACAACTTCATGTTGTTTATAAGCCTAATTCAGATTCATGATTGTAACGCAACGTAAACAACTGTAGTGTGTATTATTATTATGCATACGTACTTGTGGTTTTGTTAATACAATAGGGAACTCCAAAGAACCGGTCTTAGTTTCGGCGTATCGGTTAGCACTGCCACACACGAGGAACCTCTTAATCTCCTAATTATTTCTAACTTTAGAACCTTCAAGGCATTCGCGAAAGGAATGAGGAGTAACATTTTTTTTATAGGATAGGGTGACAAACGAGCACACAGTCCACCTGATGGTAAGTGGCTACTATGACCCATAGACATCTACATCTATCCTCAATAAAGACTCCTGATCCAGATGCGTTGTCACCCGTGAGGACTAAGATGGAATGCCTCTTTGCTAGTAAAAAGGGTCTCCGGTTCTCTACACTCACCATACGAAACACAGCAGCGTTAAGCTGCTATTTTACGTTGCTTTTCTGTGAGAGCGTGGTCCTTCCCCGGTCGAACCGACCCATTCGTGCTACAACTATACTACTAATATAGTTGCAGCATGGCTCTACCACGTATCAAAACATATATTAAAGCAAACTCAAAACTTGCGTAATAATATACGTACCAACTTAATTATTGTTAATGATCCTAAAGACAAGTTCTGCAGTGCAATATTGTATTGTGTAACTCTGCTAGCAATCGTGATTAACCAAGTTTTGACCTCTGACCTTTGGTTTCATTATATTGTGTAAAATAAAACTGTATTAATATCGTTTTATAACCGATCTCTTTTTATACTCGTATTTATTAGTATATTATTTTAGTTTACGAAGTGTTATCAAAATTAAATAAAAAACTTAACGCAGTTGCAGGATTGATTCCCACAGCTGATTTAAAAACCCGTGGTCATAATTACCAGGTTTCCAATCAGCATAGAACTATTTTATATTATTTAATGTTATTTTAAACACAATCGCACATATAATTTGCATACAGTTTTAAAAGGAATACCCCCAAACTCTGCAAAAGATTTTCGTACAATAGAATTATTATGCACTGAAACCAAGTAACCGCAAGCGCAAGAAGGCAATTATAAATACGCAACTTAGCTTACTCAGCCGTCATATACCGTTAATAGCTTATTAATATACCAATAAAAATGGTTTTATCCCTATGTTGAGACAAATGGGAACGTAATGAATTTCCCTACTTTTGGGGAAATCCTATTCCACTTACTCTTGATACTAGTATGTGTCAAACTTTTAGTTTACGCGTCACTTACGTACACAATAACTGATTTATTTGTTTCAATTTTCAGTTAAATTCATCCTAAATTACTTGTTCTACGCTTTGTGATTCTATATTGTTATATTATTTAGGTAGTTTTGTATTGTGTAATGTATAATATAATATTGTTCAACTGTTTTTCTTTTTTTTTAATAACTTCCTTAATTTGTACCTGCCAACATCTTTATACAGGGTTATTTTGCAATATTGACGGCTCCGTGGCGCAGTGGCTTAGCAATGAGTTGCTGCGCTGGGGGGCGCGGGTTCGAATCCCGCACGGAACAAGTATTTGTATGGCCTACAAATAATTGTTCCTAATATGATGAAAAATAAATAAAATTGTTAGGTACGTATTAAAAATGTAAATTTTTATCGTATTTTTTACATACAGTCCTTAGTAACTAGTCGTTACCTACTAAAAATAATTTATTATTTAACAAGTAGGTAAAATAAATTCGGTAGAAATGTGCTCAAAGCGCCATTTCTTATTATACTTTATATTTAGTTCTTAATAACCTCAAACTGGATATCGGCGGTGGTCCGAGCTTTAATCGTACCGCAGTTTACTCTCCACGGCTGTCTGTTTTACTTAATCGCCGTCGCAGAGTACTTAACAAGTACAGAGAAGGAGGTTAAATGCATTATATAGCTTTAAGGAACTGTAACACTATAACGTTATTAACGGTAAACTATTATTGTTTTTTTATGCGACATGACATTTCAGACTATGTATTATTTCATGTATTTAAAAAATTACTTCTTCGATTTGAGAAATCTTAAATTCATTTTTGTCAAATGCCATTTTAAACAAAACTGTGGCTCAAGTAACAAAACACGCATTTTCGAGTTCTTTCTCGAAATATGTAATGTTTTATCTACACTACAGTGGAAATTGGAAAACTAATTTGCATTTTATATTTGATATTGAAGTGGTTTCTTGTATATAAACAACATAGGAACGTCATATACAATTAAGTTGATAATAATTTAAGCGTATAGCCTGGACTGCCTGTCAAAAGATTTTACTCCGTATTAAAAAGGGTAGACAGCGTTAAGTGGCAGACAGCGTGTGGTCCACTCTAGGTAATACCGCTCACGAATGATTTATAAGTGTAATACAACTTGCCAATAATTACGGCCGCTTCCCGCGCCGCACCGGCTAGCGGCGATTACGCACCGTCGGCTTGCGACACTAAGCCCGTTCACATCGATATTCCAACGATTTATCCACTCCCGGATCTTTTAAATCGATTTTGTGAAATTCTGTGGCGGTTTACGTCAAACCTAACATTAGTTATCTGTGCTATCTAACGTCAAAACGCGACAGCCAATTAAGGAAAGAACGTTTTCTTTGCGTATGAGAGCCGCTAGTGCTTACAGACGATAGTTTGTTTAGACGTCGATAAGGAGCGAAACAAAAGATTTTCTTTTATCAAAACTTTCACTACGCTAAGTGAATTTATTTTCATCCGTAATATTGAGGTAACTGTTCATGAAATTTATCACAGAGAAACCAGTTGAGAACGTCTTTTACTTTTAACTTGACGACGACGTTCTAAAAAGACTATCGTTTGTAATCGAAATCGCTCCATTTAACTGTACTTTTGACTTAATGAAATGCAGTTTTACGAATCGTAAGAGTTATGTCTTCATCATTTATTGATTCTACAACTTTATCAGAACCAATTATCATATGAAACGGATTTTGGTATTTCTGTATTACAATAATGTCTAAAGAAATGTCGATTTTATTATAATTGCCTATTAAACATTCAATAAATATTTATGTACACGAGTATATTAAAATAAAATTTTCTACTTCTACCGCAGTGCCTTAGCAATGAGTTGCGGTGCTGACGGGTTCAAATCCTAATTTCTAAATGTTTTCATAAGAATTGTATGAATATTATATTGCAAAATTATGCTTTTTTAAAAGTCCCGCTGGCTTTCTTGCTGGTTATTCCCAGCAGCAGCTGCTGAGTAATGAGGGCTCGTAGACGATGATTTCCGAACTTTGCGCGTAAATACCTGGATTGCTCTAAATTCTTGAACTTTAATTGGCTGGTTGTCTTATTGAGGCTCGAAGGACCACGTTTGCCCAAGATCCTGTTCCTGGACGTATATAAAACAGTGGTAAAAGTAAAAAAATGACTTTCAATAAGAATTACATGTAATCTTCCTTGAATAATTAAAAATTAAAAATTTTGTACAAACGACTTCAATTTTTTTTATATGATAAGGGTGACAAACGAGCACACAGTCCACCTGATGGTAAGTGGTTGCTGCGGCCTATAGACATCTACATCTATCCTCTATTACAAATCAAAATGTACATGCGTTGTCACCCGTGAGGACTAAGATGGAATGCCTCATTTCCAGTAAAAAGGGCCTCTGGCCACCTGCACTCACCAAGCGAAACGCAGAAGTAAACCTCTACTTCACGCTGGTTTAAAATTTCAATATAAATTATTAAGAATAACTCAAAAACTATTAGTCAGACCATGATCAAATTTATATGGTACCACATTTGAAGCACCAGCTTTCAAATATAACAAGAATCATCGAAATCGGTTCACCCAGTAAAACATGCAGTCGAATCGAGTACCGTTTCCATTTTGAAGTCGGTAGATAAAATTGATCCTATTCTATTCTATCCCGTACAGGAAAAGTATTTCTATGACCTACAAATAATTGTTCCGGGTCTGGGTGTTTGCCCTTATGTATGTAACCTGCCATCACGATACAGGAGAAAATCCTAGTGTGGACGTAACAATTTAAAAAAAAAAAGATATACCTTACAAGAAATTCCGAAACTGTTTTCTCTTCTTCTTTATCAGCCAGTAGTAGCTCAGTGCTAGACATGTTTGGCATACGGTTGGCGACCACAGTGCCAGATGCCCTGCACCTATGACGCTGCTTTCCGTCACTGGTCTTAGCAATTCCCCTTCTAAGCGTGAGGATTAAGATAAAATCTCCCAAGAACGCGAGGGACCCATGTTTGAAGAATAAGATCTCATGACGCAGGATAAGACTGAAGGCTGAATACACGTTGGTTTAAGGGCCCAGGGCTACACACGCTATTTACTATCGGGTTGACCGTAAACTCTGACAAACAAGCTTACAGTTAAACGAGGTAAAGCCACGTTGCAACTATATTATTGTTGCAATGGGTCGGCGATATCTAGGAGGGACCACACGTTTACGGAATACCACCTCAAAATAGCAGCATCATGAAGCATAGAGAGCCGGATACCCTTTTACTGTTAACGGGGAGGATCTAAGATGTTGCATTATAGATGTATCGCATCTACATTTTGATTCTTAATCAAGGATAGATTTAGGATCTGTATCGATCCTAATTTATTTATTTATTTCATTCATTCTGTTGTTCTAGATGCTTAGGGCCTACTACTAGGGCTCCAGCATCCACTTATAGTTCAGTTCGACTGTGTGCTCGTTTGTAACTCTTAATCTGTACAAAACATTGTAAACAGAAAATATATATCTGTCTTTGTCAAAAATAAACAAACTGAAAGTGAACTACGTTGTTTCAGATGCATCTAAGTTCAGTGCGCGTGGCGTTGGCGGCTGTTTTGGCACTGGTGCTTGGCTTGGCGGCAGCTTCGCCTTCCCCTCCTCACCACGTGGCGCGCCGCTCCTTCTTCAAACTCCAGTGCAAAGGCATCTACGACGCCTCTATCTTCGCGCGGCTCGATCGCATATGCGACGACTGCTATAACCTATTCAGGGACCCCTCACTGTACAACCTCTGCAGGTTTGTTACTGACTTTGTTTAGGTTTCTCAATTTCAAATCAATCATCACTATTCGTTTTTTAAATTCATCTTTAAGTTGTATCATTGTTTTACATTATTAAAATCATTTTTAAGTTGTATCATTGTTTTACATTATTAAAAACATTTTTAAGTTATCTCATTGTTTTACATTATTAAAATGATTTTTTAGTTATCTCATTGTTTTACATTATTAAATCATTTTTAAGTTGTCTCATTGTTTTACATTATTAAAATCATTTTTTAGTTGTCTCATTGTTTTACATTATTAAAATCATTTTTAAGTTGTATCATTGTTTTACATTATTAAAATCATTTTTAAGTTGTCTCATTGTTTTACATTATTAAATGCAACGTTTGGCGTTCCTGATGAGAAGCCGTAAGTTTTGTAGATCGTAAGCATTTGTTAAAGTTTGTGTGTTCATTGTTGGGGCACAGGAAAGACTGTTTCACGACAGACTACTTCAAGGGCTGCGTGGAAGTTCTGCAAGAAACCGACCAGCTAGAACTCTTCAAGACGTATATAAAACAGTTACACGGGGCCGATCCAGGGATTTAGGTACCACGGAGTTTTTATTGCCAACCCTACCTTTCTTTCCTTTCTCGGTTGAGGTGCAATTGTCAAAGTTCCTAAAACTAACGCTTACTATTTTCGCAAGTAAATGAAACTGCCAGTATTTATGACAAAATGTTTAATTATACTTAATTCTGGATTATAGTACAATAATTTACTTTATGATTACCGACATCAAAATATAATTTTATATTCTTTATTGAACAATTTTGTTATCTAATTTACTTATTTTATTTTATTTATAAATAAGAAACTAAATTTTTGTTTTTTATTAGTCTGTAACAATCCCTGTTGGACTGTTATTCGACCAATCTTGATGCGGGTATCCGTCGTCAGTCCGACTACTTACAATACTACATTATACCTACCACCTTAAGTTGGTTGTCCTTGTTTTACAAATTTTATTTTTGTTTATTTATATTTCTACTTTCAAAACAAGTCGTAACAAAATTTAAATAAACAATTGCCAAATATCTTACCACGTTTATGTTTAGATAATGTCGCAAAAACCTTTAAATAAATAATCACACAAACAAATTATATTTATTAATTCTAGACATACTCTAGTTCCGTATTAAAGAATCAAGTTTACTCGTGAAAACTAGCATGTTACACATATGGGAACTTGTAGGTGACAATTGCTATTGCATTCTCGCCTTTCCAATCGCCTTTTTTTAACACGCAATTAAGCTTTGCAGTCTTCTATTTTATAAGTTTTGGGTGCAACGCCGAGGCTTTTGGGTGCATGTAGTTTAAAAAAATATATTTTTTCTTTTAATAATATAGGGAATATGGCACACGCTGCTCGAGTCTATCATGTCTTCACTTCGTTTAAACAACTAACTGCTCTTCCAGGCTTTACATAATATATTTTTAACGTTTATTTCTGAATAAAATTGCATGAGCTGCGAACGTAGTACATTATAGTAAAAACATTTAACAACACAATTATTAAAGAGTCAGGCGAGTTAGTTAAAAGAGAAAGCAAAGAAAATTTCGCAATGAAATATAGTTAAAATAACGTCGCAGGTGTATTTAGTCTATTTGGTTAAACACAAGTTGGTATTTAGTAGTTTCTAACTTTATTAGTAGGTAAAAAGATGATACTAACGTCGTAGCATTATTATAAATGAAATAATTATAACAAAGAATACCGAGCTACTTCTATTGATTCATATATTTAATTCTGCAATATTATAGACATAACTGTTCTCTTTTCAATATTGTACAAGCGCACATCCCGCTTTGATTCTTACTTGCCCTGCCCAAAGAAGAGGCATTTTCCAAACCAGTGGAAAATATATTTAAAAATTTATTTAAACGCATTTATAGCCGACATTGAATTTAAAAAAATCTGTACTACTTCTGTTTTTAATATTTGGGTATACCATGTATGAATGTTTGTATAATATTTGTGACACAATCGGGCATACACCGCTTAATGAAATTTAATTTGGCATATTAGATGAACATTTTCTAAATTAATAGCCAACACACATCTGAAATCTGAAGTTAAAATCTTTAACTGACGGCAACTCACATATTTTTCCGGGCGCACCGTTAGTTAAACTGATCAGTTGAACTGACGTACATCCAAAAACTGACCGTGATTGTGAAATCTTAAGTTGAAATTAGAAGCCAGTGAGTGGGGAAATCGTTTTGACTTACATCCGTTTTAACAGACCATGTGTGTCGAGCATAAGACATTGGATATTTTTGCCACGAGGATATAAAAGTTACACCTGGAATCAAAACACTAAGGCTATTTGAACTTTAAACCTAAACTATTTCTACGCATGTGGAGCTCTGTGCAGAGCTTAAAGTGACATTTAATATAAACAACAAGAAATAATTATTGTCTTTTGTAATAACAAAATAAAATAATTTGGTATATTTTTTTTAATTTGATTCTCTGCTTACAGGTGCTATGTTTATAATAATAATTTACTTGACCAAAGCAATTTATGTATAAGGCGTAATACGAATAATATGTAATATGCAGTGTGAATACCCACAAAACGGCGTTTTTTTTTTTACTCAAACAAATCATTTTACAACGCTTATGATATGTTATCTATTGTACTATATTTGGGAATTTCCTGTTCTTTTGTTAAGAAAATGAATATTTAACGATGCCACTTGTACTTATTGCGCTCATGCTGTAACATCTTTAAGGCTATCGCAGAGGAATGTAAGCTTGATCTTGTAAATAACTTAAGAATCTATATTTCCTTCTTCTAAACACATAATAACAAGCTTGTTTTCACAATTTTTTTAATATTATAATTTATAACATTAACAATTATCAATATATGGTGTAGGGAAATTAATATCGGTTATTTTAAATAAATTATTTTGTTTTATGGTTACAGGCAGGAATGTTTCCAATCGAAACACTTCATGGGTTGTGTGGAGGCACTGTTGCTCTTAGACGAGAAGGAAGAAATAGAACAAATGGTCGATTACCTCGGGAAACGCTAATGCATACACAGTTAGCCCAATATTTCGCGCCAAATCTTGACACATGACGCCATTTTGTATTACCTTGCCGAGTGAACACGCCGCCACAGTATAGTAAAACAACTACCATTATAATGGTCACTATAACTCCACCGCTTTGCCAACAAAAAGCAGAAACGACTGTCAAGTTCCTCCACATTGACGTCTGCTTTCTATCCTCAACGTATTCTAGTCTTTATCGCGACATAAAATTATTTATGTTTGCAACTAATTGTAATGTTATCATAATTTGTATTAGATAATGTGTATACAATGTTAAGGACTTTTTGTGTATTTAATAGTAAAAATATGCGAATTTTGTGTTAATAGGTGTTGTAGTAGGCTTCTTGAGAACTACGGAAATGTAAAGTACATTAAAGATTTGTTTTATCACTTAGAACACCTCCTAGGTATTAAATAAAACTCCCAAATCCGAGGCAGATGTTTTTCTGGTTTTGATGCTGGTCATCTCATTCTGTCTGTCTCTAAAAAAAAATGTTTTCCGACTGAATTTGTCATTGTAATTTTTAATAAACACTGCGACGCATTCCAAGCACAGTATTTAAACAAAAATTACTTACGCTTTTTATATTTAAATTTCTGTAACTAACTCTGTATTCGATGGTATTTAATTATGTATTATATAAGTAAGCGTTTTTAGTTGTGTACATATTATATAAATCATTCGAGCAGCTTGTACAGTGGTGCGCATGTTTAATTCAACAATGTCTCTATAGTAAAAAAATACAAGTGGTTAAACAAATTAATACACAAAGAATTGGTTTTACGCTATCAGAAAATGTGAATAAATGTAAATGTTTCTTCGCTATTCGATTCGAAAAATATTTGTAGATTAATTAAAACGAAATTAAATAATAAAATCATGCCAAAATATAAAGATTTAACCGATTTCATCTTATCTGACAGGAGTATAATAAATAAAATCTTAGAAAAAAGTAATATTTTCACGTAAACAAACGATATTTCGCTAAGATCTTCAACATCTTTTTTAATATGACAATCATAAAACAAAACGATATTAAAAAAAAAACTCAACGATTTAAGTTTTTAACATATTTTGACATTGTTGAATTTAGGTGCGAAGTATTTAATTCTGTCTATTAGTGTTTTGATATTTAATTACCTATCTTTAATTTTAATTACAGTTTGTATTTAATGCATCACATATTTTTTAGGTTTATTTAAACCATATTGGTAAGCTCCGTGTCATGTAGGTGTATGATGCGAAGGAAGTACGTAAAATACAAAGTGGGTAATTAAAACGTAAAATTAACTATAACAGCTCGTAACAAACTTGCATCACAATTGGAGATAAAAAAATATATTTAAGGTCGTATTTCCTTTGCTTCGAACCGTTTTGGTTGTATCCGTTCAGTTTTAAGCGATATATAATTTAATTAGTTTTTAAGTATTTAAAAAAGGTTTATTTTTTGGTTACTCTCGAACTATTTATTATTTGTTACTTTTTACGGTTTATTTATTTTGAAAAAAAAAATAATCGGTAATGCTTTAGTAACCGTGGTACCAGTACCAGTGATTTTGTTAAAGAAAATAATCTTCACTCGCTCGTGTATTTCTGATGATATATTCTGTAAGTTGCGGTTAATACTTACTTTGCTATACGTTAGTTTCATCAAAAGCTTTCTCTGTGTTCGAATCTCAACTATTTTATAGATTTCTTTTAGCGTTTCTTACTTAACCTTACAAGTTCTACAACAGAATAAAATGCCTCTATTATTTCGACATATTAAGAATAATTAGTTAATGATGCCGAACCTACTTACACATGTGCCGTGTAAATTTTACAAAAAATGGTGCCAATAATTGACCCAAGAAACTAGTTTTAACGAATTTAACTAATATTTAGAGATGTTAAAACAATTTAAAGGACCTGTGAAAGTGTTAAAAATATAAAAAAATGAATTAGTGAAATATTAATCTATTTGTATAAATTTTATATAAAACAGCTAAGAAACGCTACGGGTTCCATGAAATATATTACATTTTGAAATTGATAATTGCATTTTGTTTTAATACTACCTATCCTGATAATAGAAACACAGATAAGAAAGTTAAAACAGCGGTATGATGGTGGCATAATAGCATCCATCATGGCCTGTTTCCAGCAACAGTTCTTGGAGGTTGTGGAGCAATTATTGGAGCAATCTGGAGCATTATCTAAATCTCTACATAGTATAGAACAAAGTCACTTCCCGCCGTCTGTGCGCTTACATCTTTTAAACTACGCAACGGATTTTGATGCGATTTTCATCAATAGACAGAGTGATTCCAGAGAAATATTTATATGTATAATACATGTATATTATGTATTATATAATTCTTCTATCCGTGTTTATGTGACTGACCCTCCGAAACGGTTGGACCGATTTTGATGAAATTTTGTGTGTGTGATTAAGTTGATTAGAGAATGGTTTAGATTCACAATCGGACCCGGTAGGTGATAG